GGAGAAAAAAATGGAAGAACTGACTTTCTGAATGGTCCAGGGGTTGACCCAGTTATATTTGTGTCCCTATTTCTGCCCTATCCCTTGACACTTCTGTAATATTGACCTTCCACTCTGTTGTGTCCCCAGCCCCTAGCACCCTTACCACTCCCACAGCCCACTCAGTTTTCAGATTGCTAAGTGCTTTTCAAGGTAGTATTGGGTTTTCAGGTGATGCTGCATGGGTCCTTGCCCTGAAGGGCAAATGGGGGCCCTTAAACTGGTGTACCTTCTTAAGAGGCTACAAAGGCCTATCCCAGATTTTCATGCATGTTTTTAGATACTACAGCAAATTTCCTGTCTTCTTGTTACTCTCTCCCTAAAGGAGAACCTGAGGTTATCCCTAACTCAGATGAAGGAGGAGGGGCCCTCCTGGGTCTGGCCCAGCGAGTACCATTAAGAGAAACCCGAGAGATAATACATACCAGGGTGAGATGGGATCCTCCTGGGTGGGGAGTACTGGAGATACTTAGGGAATTTCACTGCAGTGGCCTACATTGAGGACTGTGGGTAATGCCAGGCAGTCTTGGGCCTCAGGATGCTATTAGGTCTGAGTTGGCCCCAAATGGGCCCAACCCCTCTCAGAATGGGACTGAAAGACTTCTTTTTACCAGGTATCTGGGGCCTGGGGTGAGAAGTCACAAATTGCTGTATATTTGAATCACCTTCAGATCAGTCCTGAGGTTAAGACACATCTGATCCTTGGCATCCCTTCATTCCACAGACATTTTACTGACCAGCTACTGAGTGTGGGTCTGTACTATGCATATTCTAGAAGAGGGAGACAAAAAATAAGCACATAGGTAAAATGTATAGGATGTCAGATGGTGATATTCTCTGTAAAAAGAATAATAATAAGGTGCTAACCTGGTATGATGGCACATGCTTATAATCTCAGTGACTTGGGGGGCTGAGGCAGGAGGATCACAAATTTGAGGCCAGCCTCAGTAACTTAGCAAGCCCCTAAACAATTTAGTGGGAACCTATCTCAAAAATAAAAAGGGCTGGTTATGTGGCTCAGTGGTAGAGCACCTGGGTTAAATTCCTGGTATCAAAAAGAAAGGTGCTAAAGGGACACTGGTATTGAGGGAATTGTTATCACAATTTAAAGTAGACTGGGCAGAGGACTCTCTTGGAGAAGATGATGTTTAAGTGAAGATAGGAATTGAGGGCATGAGCCATGCAGATATGTAGGGGAGAACATTCCAGGCCAAAAGGGCTGTAGATGCAAAGACCCTAAGAAGAAAATGTGCCTAGTGTTTGGAGAAAAGAGAGGCCAGTCAGAAGCTGGGCTTGGTGGTGCACACTTGTAATCCCAGCAGCTCAGGAGGCTGAGACAGAAGGATTGAGAGTTCAAAGCCAGCCTCAGCAAAAACAAGGTGCTAAATGACTCAGACCTTGTCTCTAAATAAAATACAAAATAGGGTTGGGGATGTGGCTCAGTGGTTGAGTGAACCTGAGTTCAATACCTGGTATCTAAAAATTAAAAAATTAAAAAAAAAAAAAAAAAAAGAGGCCAGTCAGATTGAAGCAGAGTAAGGAGAGATGAGATTACAGCAATAACAGGATCAGATTAGGTTAGGACTTATAAACAAGTGCACACTCTTGGTTTTTACTTGGAATGAATGGAAAGCCATGGGGAGAAGGAATGAATACAGGAATGACATGATTTGACTTCAGTCTTGAAAAAAAATCACATTGGCTGCTGCGGTGAGAATAAGACAGGAAGACAAAGGGGAAAGATCACTCTCTACTTTTTTCCTCTCCATAGGACAGCCATGATGCTCACCTGATGCCCTCCCCTGCCCAGTCCATTCCTGGCCCTGTGATACCACCTTCTGTCACTGGCCTATCACCCTTTGGACAGGCTCAGCGTGTACCCTCTCCTGCTCTTCCAGTTGTGGTTTGTATCAACAAGTCCTAGAGGCTGGGCAAGAGCAGAACAGTCTGGCTAGAGATCCTGCTAGGTATAGGTTTTGTTCCTGCTCAGCCATCCACATCTCTCCCCAGACTTCACATTCAGTGTTGCGTCGCCTCATCATTCGACCCAAAACCCAATTCACACCCATCCCATCAGCCCCCAGAGTTCATCAGGTAAGAGAGGGCAGTGGATGCAGCTAGCATGGACCAAAATTGGGGAAGGAAGGAGATGGATGGGTACAGGAAGAATTAAGAGAGAGACAAGGGTCCCATCTGTGGGTGCTGGGCCTTGCTGACATCTCATTTCCGTCACAGGCCCGATGGTTGAGTGGCCTCTCCCCTCAGTCCTGCCCTGAAGAGACTGCCCTGCCCTGGGTAAGTATCAGAAGTCTTTCCATGCTAAAAGCCCTTTTGCTGTCCCATTGACTTGGAGGCTTGGCAGTTTGAGGCCAGTATGCTGTTTGTCTTCAGAAGTTGCCTGTCTCTGTATCCTCCCTGCTTCTCTCCTGCACCTCCTAGTCTAGGTCCAGGACTTCTCAATTAGGAACTTTGATCCCTTTCTCCTGAGCATAGCACTCAGACTGATTTTCCTGCCACTACTTGGCTTTCTCACCTGCCCCCTTTCCTTTTTTGTGGCAGGAACAAATTGCAGTACGTTTGTTTGATCAGGACAGTTGTATAAGATTGCAGGAGGGGACTGGGAAACCACCTGTGGCAAGTTCTTCTGGACCTCACCCCAACAGGACCCTCAACCTCCAAAAGCTAAAGATACAGGTGGGTCTATGAGGACAACAGCTTTGATGACTGTTGGGCAATAACAGAGCTGGGAAAGGGGGATTTGGGAGGATAGGGGTAGAGAACTGTGGGTAGACTGTGAACCTGCTTCTTAATTTCACACTGGGGCATACTCTCCCACCATAGCGCATAAATATCCTGCAGCAGTTGTTGCGACAGGAGATAGAAGGACTGGCAATGGGCAAGTACACTCCTTTAAATGGATCCTCCTCTCTGGATATTGCTGAACTTCAGCCCCTGCTGGATGAGATTTCTAGAACTCTGAATGGCCCAGAGCATAATTCTGGGACATCCCACCTTCCTGAATTATCACAGCACTCTGGGATTCCAGAGCCCATCCTTTCAGAGGAGTGTGAGGAACCACAGTCCTGCCCTGAGACAGAGCCTGAGGTGGCACAGTCCTGCCCACCAATAGACCCAGGCCACCCAGAGTCCTGCTGCAGGACTGAACTAGAGATACCAGAGACTTCCTTCCAGGAACAGCCTGAGATACCAGAGCCGTGCCTTCCAGCAGAGCCTGGACCCTTGCAACCAAGCCCCCAGGGGCAGACTGGATCCCCAGAGACTTGCCCTAAGGTAGAGCTGGAGGTTTCAGAGGCCCGCTCCCTGGAACCTGGAAGCCCAGAGTCCAGCCCATGGCCCTGCTACAGTCAGGGGGCTCCTGCAACCACCAGCCTGACCTTCTCTTCTCAACACCCACTTTGTGCCAGCCTCCCTATCCGTTCACTCCAGTCTCTGAGGCCCTTGGCAGGCCAGGCAGGTAAGAAGTTGGTAGGGAAGAAATGGATTCAAAGAAAGTCCTATCTTTTTCACTGGGTGTGAGGCCCTGCCCCACACCCCATGGTAACAGGTCTTCTTCCCTGCAATGTTATCCCACCTGTCCTAGCCTGGATCCCTTGGGAATAAGGGAGGAACTACTTCTCTAGCTTTGTACCCTAATTGGCTTGGCCCTTGTGGGAGGGAAAAGGGAAGTACATGGTAGGGGTGTGGGATTCCAGAGCTTCTCTAAACTCTTCATGACTCTCAGGCCCTAGCAATCTGGCCCCTCGGACACTGGCCCTGAGGCAGCGCCTCAAAGCATGTCTCTCCACCATTCACTGCTCTCATGAGACTTGCTTGGATGATGAGTGTGCCTTCTACACCAGCCGAGCCCCTCCCCCAGGACCCACCCGGGTCTGCACCAACCCTGTAGCCACATTGCTTGAGTGGCAGGATGCCCTGGTGAGCCTACAGACCATGGCCATGCTGTGTTTGCACAGCAAACCTTCAGAAAGTGGGGTGGGGGTGGGGAGGCAGGTGGCAGCAGGCCTTGGCTTCTTTTCTAAGAGGCAATGGGATATAACAATGTTTCTTTCTCTCTCTTTCTCCAGTGTTTCATTCCAGTTCATCCTGCAGCCCCTCAGGGCTCTCCATCATGAGGCCCCTCCCTCCACCTACTCCAGTCCTGCCAACCTCACCCCCCTTTCCTTTAGCCCTTATTTATTGTTGGTCTGCCCATGGGATTGGGAGCCAACATCCTTTTGTCCTTCAATAAATTTTCTAAAGTGTCCAAATGTCCAGCCAGTGAGTTTTCAGGGTCCAAATGGGGCAACCACTGCTGTTGCTCTCCAATTGCCCACATGGTGGCAGTGTGTTATAGCTTAGAGGATGGAAGCCAGCCTGGAGGGAGGAAGCTTTCCCATTCCTGACCAGCCCACCCCCTCAGCAAGCTCAGTCTGTGGGCAGCTTCAGAATCATCATCTCCTTGAGCCTTGAGATCAGTTCCAATTCTAGGAACTATTCCCTCATCCCTTAGAGCTCCTCTGCTGGAACTTTCTCACTGTCCCTTGCAGTGGCCGGCACCAGTACTCCCAGATACTCAGGAGGCTGAAGCAGGAGGATTGTTTGAGCCCAGGAGCTGAAGAGCAACCTGGACAACATAGCAAGACCCTGTAACCACCTGTCTTCCTGCCCTAGGTGGAGAGGCAGAAGCATAATACCCAGATCTTTGGAATTCTCCCTTGTCAGCATCATTCTGACTGGTTATCACCCAGGCCTACAGAGGCAGGCCCCAAAGTTCTCCTGGAGCTGATAATTCCTCCTTTTTACAGCAGAACAGAAACTTGAGCTGTCTTCTTCTTTGTCTCTCTCATAGGCAGACCTTGCCAGGAAAAACTAATCCTGACAGATTGATACTGAAGAGTGGGAGTCCTTGCGGGGGGGGGGGCATTTTCCCCTCACTCTGCACCAAGTTAAACAGCCACACACAATCCCCCAACCTTACTTTATTAGAAGAGGCAACAGCAGCTATAGCCCCAGGGCCTAGCCCAGAGAGGAGTATAATGGGGACTATACAAAATGAGTTTTAAATATGAGGAAAGAATTCACTGGTTCCTCCAGTTAACAGGAAGGCTGCCAAAGCTGGAGCCTGAAAATGGAGATGAGAGAGGAGGAGATGGCGTGGCAAGAGAAAACTGTCATTATTGAGGACCAGCCTCTACCCTGTTCACTAGAGGGGTTCCTGTTTCTGTCTTTCCCTAACAAGTTGACAGAGCTTCTGAGCTTTGCTAGTGAGGCTGCCTCCCAGCTACTGGCAAAGAGGGGAGGGCCAACACCTCTCAGCTTTCACTGGCCACCTGTGCATGGGGTAGTCCCTCCCTAAGCCGCTTTGCTCCTCCTCTGGCCCGGCCTCTTCCCCTCCCTAGCCACTTGTACCCTCAAGTCCCAAGAGTCAGCCTATTTAGGCCTCTTCCTTCCCCTCCCTAGCCACTTATACCCTCAAGTCCCAGGAGCAGGAGGTTCCACCCCGCCATGGCCAGGTTCTCAAATGATAGGGTGTTGCCTTGGGTAGGACCCCAGGAAGTGGGTTAGGGCTGGAGCGAAAGGGTAAGCGAGCAAGGGGGCGCGGGGGGGGGGGGGGGGGAATGGTGCCCGGCTCAGTCCGGGTAGATGATGAAGCCTGAGAAGGTGCTGTATTTGTTGGTGTTGCCGCCATGCACCTTCCCGCCGTCCAGTTTGATGAAGACCTCGTCGCCCACATCCAGGTGCAGAATGACGCTGTTGCTGGCATAGTCGTAGTTCTGGTCTGCATCCTGAGCAATGGCGCTGGCCCGGACCTATCCAGAAAAGAGAGGAAAACCACCTAGTCAAGCTCTGCGCAGCGCTGGGGCGGTCCAGGGGTCAGACCCAGTGGATGCTGTTTGGCATGGGAAAGGCGCTGAAGGGCATTGGGCTGTCAGTATTGGAAGGACAAGGGTAGGACATTGCTGGGCTGGTTCTTCAGGCTCTGCCATTCATTAGCTGTGTGACTGAGGGGCACACATCAGGTCTTCTCTGGGCCTCAATTTGAGCTGTAAGTTTTTGGAATTTTAATGAGTTACATGAGTCTATTCAAAAGAGTGATTTGTATACAGAAAATGTTAAATAGGGGTTGCTATTATTATTCTCACTTAAAAAATAAAATCAACCTGCTGGATAATTTATAAGGATCTGTGCTGGCTCAGACCTCCTGTTAGTCCTAAATTTGCGTTTGCTTCCGTGCTAGGGCAATAGGTGTGTCTCTGAGTGTGCCACAGGGTGCCGGCCACAGGGTGCCTCTGGGGCACTGGGTTTCCCAGCGGAGCAGCGGGCCAGCTGGTTTCCCCACGTGGGGGGTCGCCTTCAGCTGGAACAGGGGGCCTAGCCTATCCTATGGCCTCAAGGCATTCGCCTCCAGCAGCCAATCCCCTCCCCATTCCCCCTTTTCTGTCCCACCAGGCCGGTTATTAACTTATTAATTATTCATCATTATTCTAATCATTATTTACCATCCCCAGGGCCGCAGAGCCCGAGCCGTGGAATACAGAGTGGGAATCGTGCAGCTCCCACCCCCTCCCAAACCAACACTCTCTAAATACATACTTGCCCCTTTGGCCTTCTTCTAGGCTTCCGGCATAGACCAAGCATGCCTACTTGGTGCCAAATGCAGATAGACGCCATCACTCTTCTCATACCTTCATACTCCCTACCCACAAACACACTCAAATATGCACACATTCACATTTCCTTACACCTGTATACTGCCTCTCCCACACACAGACACACAGGCACTCCAAATCTCTTTCCTTGGGTTCCTAGGGAGGTCCTGCAGGTTGAGACCCCAAAGCAAGAGTGGGAGTTTGCTAGCAGTGGGGTCCTCTTGGGCAGGGAGGGCACTAAATTCGTGCAGAGCCAAAGGCTCAGATTGAGCCCCAAGAAGCAGGCCTACTAACTCCCTCCATTGGATCATTCAGAGGTCACCACTCAGCCCAATCTCCCCTTTGGCCTGAATCACCCAGGCAGCTTCCTCCACCTCAGCCTTCGGCCTTTTTCCAGCTTTGTGTGTCTGGAGCTGAGTCCTTGAGGCTATTTTCCCTAAACAAGGTGGCAATGACTCTGACCACAGGGGCAGCAAGCATCCGAAGCTGGAGGCTCAGAGGTTGCCACAGAGGATTTGGGGCCTACAAATCAGGCCATGGTTCAAGGCCTAATATCTCCCTATTCCTTGCCTTCTTTCTCCTCCAAATCTTTCCTTCCACAACTTAATTGGCCCCTGGACTGTTGGACCATGTCCCATCTCTACCTGCAGATAGTCAATATTAGCTGAGGGTAACAATGAGTCTAGGCTTGGCCCCAGACTCTCTTTCTGGCAAGTGAACAAGCAAGTATTTCTCTCTCTCTCTCTCTCTCTCTCTCTCTCTCTCTCTCTCTCACCTTTTCTTTCCTTGAAAATCCAAAATGAATGGCCCACAAGAACTGGCTGCCAACTGCCCATCCCTGAGACATGGATTCCATTCTAATTCCAAAGAGCCAGATTCCAGGTAGTTCACCCTTCACCAGGGCTGGAACAGCCAAAGGCTAGGAAGGCTGCCTTCAAGAGAGAAGGCGGCTCAAGATATGACTAAAAAAGAGGCTGAATGGTAGGGTAAGATACCAAAGACCCTTGGTGTGGTTGCCTAAAGCTGGAGTGTGAGGTCACTGCTGCAGAATCATTAAGCTTTGAGACCTGGGTTTTAATTCTAACACCATGCCTCACACCCTGTGAGACCCTGGGCAGGTGATTTTCTTTCTCTGGCCCCCAATCCTTTTTTGGCTAAATGAACCTGTTAAGTTCTTGTTAGCCTGGCGTTCCTGGATTCCCTGATGCTGTCTGGGATAGGAACTAAGTTGTGGAAAGAATGAATGGAGATTTAGGAGGCTACCAGTCAGATATGAGACTAGGTAGGAAAAGGGCATCTCACCTGTCCATTCTTCATCAAATCCGCCCACATGCTAGTGCCGTCGCCGCCGCGCATGAGCACGTGGTAAGCAAAAAAGTAGACGCCAGGCATGGGACAGGTGAACTTGCCGCTGGCTGCCTCATAAGCGTTGCCCACGTTGGTCACCACGTCGTCAAAACGCAGTACCTCATAACCCTCATGAGGCCGCCGAAGGCCCGCGTAGAAGGCAATTCGAGGCACGTAACCCGCTGGGGACACTGCCCCGCCAGGGCCTGGGCCGGGAGGGCCAGGGGGACCTGGCCTGCCGGGCTCTCCTGGGGGCCCTCTGGGACCTGGGGGTCCCGGGGGCCCCCGCAAGCCTGCCTTCCCGCGCCGGCCCACCTCCCCCTTGGCACCTGGGGGAAAGGGTGGCACAGAAGCAGAAGTGCTGTCGGATCCCTGTCCTCGGGACCCATGCGGGTCACACACCATGCGGCAGCGACCCAGCATCTCATAGTGCGCCGGCCCGCGGGAGCTGTGCACCAGCAGCGGGATGGCCACCAGTAGCAGTAGCACCATGGCCACCCCGACGGCCGCGCCTGCCACCCGCTTGCGGCGGCTCAGCCGCGACGCGGCCAGGGCCAGCAAATCCTCCTCACTTTTGGGCGCAATGGCGGCAGAGGCCCGGGGCTCGCCGCGGGCCCAGGAGGCTGTGGCCCGGCTCGGGCCTGGGTCTGTATCCCCCCGACGGTCGCGCCCGGCTCCCCGGCCCCTGTGGGCGCCCGCCGCAACGGTGCCGTTCCCCAAACCGTGGGTCAAAGCAGAGGTCTCCCAGTGGGGTGGGCCAGGGGCAGCTCCAGACTGTTGAGAACCCGTGGTTTTCTGTTACCCTCCTGTGCAGTCTTAACGATCCGGGACGCCTGAGATCCACGGCTTCTTGGACGGCTGGTTTCTTACAGGTCTAGGATACCTGCTCTCCAAAGAGCTGCTTTTTCACGGATGGCGGTGTCTAAGTCTTAGGCTACCCATAAGAATGAATCGCTCCTGGCTGGAGCAGGGACTACTCCCTGCGCTCCGGACGTCCCGGGTTCTATCTGAGCTGCGGGTAGCGCCCACTGGACGCGACCTTCTCCTAGGTTTTGCGCTCTACCTCTTGGAAAGCACTCATCCACCTTCCTCCTCCAGCCACGGCCGCAGCCTTTGCTAGAGCCCTGGCCTGGCGTCTCTCTCCTGCAATCGCTCTCCCTCTCTGCGTCCCTAACCTTCCTCCCCTTCTTCCCCCGGCGGCAGTGCGGGTGGTGTGAGTCGCCGCGCGGCGGGAGCCACTATAAGTGGCCGAAGGCTGAGCGACCCCTGGTGCCCAGAGTGGGAAGCGCGGGGGCGGGGCAGGCAGGGCTGCTTCACACAACCCCCCACACACATTCAGGGTGCCCCTCTTCCCCGCCCCTACATTCCTGGCTAGCTTTGAGGGTTCGGCAGGGATTCCTGGTCACAGACCTTATCCTTACTTTTACACTCTATAGGGAGTTTGGCATTTTCAGAGCCCCAAAAAGCCAGAAACAGCGATAGGATAAAAAGGAGTCCAGATAGAAACACAAGAGAAGACAGAGGTGGACTGAGGAGCTAAAAAGAGGCGGGGAGAGGGGAATTACCACAAACGAAAAACAAAACAAGAAAAGCGAGAAAAGATAGAAAATTTCCACCATATACCCCTCCATTATCTCAAGTAAATACCGCGTGTTAACATGGTAAAGGGTTCAATAGATACTTGTTGACCTGAACTGGAAAAGGCAAAATTCCAACCACTCCCACCCTGACCCCAGGGTTTGGGGGCGCTATGCAGTAGAGTTTTGGGAGAGCGGGGAGAAACAGACCAGCTTCGGGGAGCGAGCAGGCAACTGACAGAAAAGCAGAGAAGGTGACGGAGAAATCAAAGAGAAAGAAAGCCAGATAGAGACCTAAAGACAGAGACAAAGCTGCGAAAAGAAAAGAGACTGACAGCTCCAGAGGGGGAGAGGGAGAGACAGAGACAGAGAGAGAGAGAGACAGGAGCTGAGACAGGTTGACAGATCCAGAGAGAAATGTAAATGGCGCGCTGCAGAGAGACACCCAGGTCCGTGTTCGGACTCCAATGTGACATATCAACTGTAGGGAAGACGAGGGGGCGGGGCGGTTCTGCCAGCCGAGTGGTAGACTCTGGGCCTGTGCATTGTGACAGTGCGCTGGAAAGTGTGGAGGTGGCCACGGAATCCTGGCCTTGTGTGTCCTGGGTGAGTGGGATTGTGGATTGTGTCTAGTCTTTGTGTTTGTTTGTGTGAGGGCTGTTTGAAGGGAGGTATTTGTATTCGTCCACCTCAGCCCCCAAATTTGGGACCCCACAAATTTGGGACCCCATTTTTCCTATCTCAGGACTGAAGAGTAGGGAGTCTCCTGGGGAGAAAGTCAGAATGTAGGTCTAATCTCATTTGCCCTGCCCAACCCAGCTCAACTCCACCTCTGCCCTAGTCCCAGAGTTGTCCAGCCCCAGAAGTCTCAGCCCCCTCCTCCTTCCCCATATGTCTGCTGTCCAAGGAAGCCCAGAGAAGTTAGACCCCAATAATGGATGTTTGGTTGGTTACACAAATTAATGCAACTTAAATGTAGATTAGATGCTAGGCACCTTAAGAGGTGACTGTGTCTGCTTTCAGGATGGCCAAGAGGGAAAAATGGTGTGGGTAGAACAGGATCCAGAGAGGAAGATATTGGCTGTACCCTTTCCTAGGGCCTGGCCCCTCTGGAGACCTCAGGCCAGAAGCTAGGAGAGGGGGTTCTAGACCTGATAAGGTGGGGTTGTTTGGAGACCCTAGAGTTCTGCAGAGGCAAAGGTCTCTTAAGGAGTAGGGTAAACCAGGAGAATGATGCCTGGAATATGTTGTGTAAAATGGAGGGTACAAGGCACACCAGGGCACAATTATTGATGTAGAATGTGATTTCTTCATCCCTCCTTTCCTGTAATTCTTCCCTGAATGCCCCCCACACACACACACACACCTCATAATGTTGCTGAGGCTGGGCCTGTGTTGTGGATGGTGGGAGGTCCTTATGTGGCTGAAAGGATTGGAAGAGAAAGGATTGACAAGTGGGGGAAGGGCCTTCCCCTCCAACCATAAATACAAATTTTATTCAAGGTCTTTGTCACCATTTGTCTTCGGGGGGGGGGGGGGGCTGAGGACCGTGTAGGCCCCGTGGTGCATGTCTAATTCCAGATCTGCTCCCCCAGGCTGGATGATGGATGGATCAGAGAGAGCAGGCCTGGGCTCACACCATTCTCCCTTGCCTGAGTCTCAGGTCCCATACACACCAAGTCCTGCCACCTCTCTTCTTCCTCCTTACCCCCACCTCCTTTCTACTTGCTAGAGGCCCTGTTTGCCCAGACATGCTTCCCACCCCACTTATGCCACTCCCTGTGCCCCCTTATGAACCCCTCACCTCAGACTCTTTCAGGTGCCAGTCCTCTTCTCTCTGAATCTTCCCCTCTTCTATCCCCAGCCCAGGCTGTGAGCTGCGGTGACCAGCAGGGCTGCAGGCGGCAGCGGGTGTGTGTGGTGGGGGAAGCAGGCTTGGCTCACAGGGAGCTGAGGGGCCAGCTCCATGAATTTATTCATGTTCTGTTGCTCTTTCCCCACGCTCTGGAATGAAGCTGCCAGCTCACCAGGTCCTTATTGCTTCCCCTGCAGCTGTCACATTTGTCCAAGGAGGAACCTGGGTATGGCCAAGACCAGCAGGTGCTCTGGGGCTGAAAGCTAAAAGGGAATGTTGGGGCCCAGACTGGAGTTCTGGACAATTTAACCAAAGATTCTCTGGTAGACAAACTGGGAGATCCCAGGGAGCTGATGTGCTTAGGAATGGGAAGTAGGCAGAGAATGGTTTGCTGCAGGACAAAGAAGAAACCAGGAAGGTGGGGGCAGTGTTGGTGGGAAGAGGGGAGAGGAGAAGACAACTTTAACAGTCTGCTATGCTCTCCCACTTGAAAGCATAGCCCACTCTAAATCTTGCATTAACCTCTACCCTTGACTTTGCACTAACCCTGACCCTAATCCCAAATGATACTCTTCTCTACAATCCTAAAATGAATTTTAACTTCATTACCTGACCTTAAGTGGAATGCATGCATCTTTACCTGTCCTGGAACCCAGAAGTCTCTCCAGAATTCTCTCCAGGGTGATAGCCAGGTGTTTGTCAGAGTTCTGAGGGCCAGACTTTGGATTAGCATGTGATTAGCATACTATTTGCATGTGATATGTGCCTTCTACTCTGCAGAAGTTTTTATGTTAAAATTTTATGAAGTCTAGCGGAAAGGTCCTGGCTCCTTGAAGTGTTTTTTTTTTTTAATCATTCTTTCTTTTTTTCCTTCTCTCACACTTCTTGTCACTGACCCAGACCCCCTCAAGGGAAAAAAAAGGGGTGAGCAGGTAAGCAATAGAAGGCCCATGGGAGGGGAGATTCTGGCAGTGTGATCTGCCTCTATCACTTGCACAAGCCTCAATGTCCTCATCTGTAAGAAGAGAGGAACTATCTGGCTGAAATTCCTTTAAGATCTAAGGAAGCACTTGCACTTTTCTTCCTCCCCTTTAGTCCTGATCTTGGAGAGGTTTTCCCCAACCTCTCCCACACTCTGGCTTTCGGCTCCACATCAGATTTCACATATAGATAGAAGCAGCCTGGGTTACCTGGTACCAGACAGGGGTAGGAAGAGAATGGAACTTTGTCCACTTGAGAAGACAGAGGATTGCATGAAAAGGGAAATAACATTATTAAGTATTTATTGTATTTGAGGGCTTTTAAACACAAAGGTTCTCATACCTTCACAGCATCCCTGAGGGGTGGATATATTGTTCCCATTTTACAGATGAGGAAGATGGAGCCCAGAAAGGAGAAATGGCTTGTCCAGTATCACCCTGTAAGAGATCCTAAAATTGGAGTTATGATCCTTTGGCTTCCTTTTCAGTACCCTGGAAAAGAAATAAATGGCACCAGAGGCAATGGAAGGGTGAGAGAAGTAGGACAGGAAGATGAGATCTCAGGGGAGATCTGTATGTGTGAGGCCAACCGGCAGGATCTTGGCTCTGCATGTCCCCCATATCCCCCTGCCCTGACACTGTCAACTCTTGACACACAACAGGGCTAAACTGTGGTCTAATGGAAGGCTAAATTTTGAAACTGTTCAGCTGGAGAAGGAGAGGACACAGAAAAATGAACTAGAGGAAAATTTGCTTAAAGGGCAAAAGGGAGACCTGAAACTGGATCTCCTTCTGCAACCCCGAGGTGAAACAGTGGAGGTCCAAGACCTGCACACACTTTGCCTCCTCATAGAGACATACTTGCCTTGCCGTGAGACAGAGGGCAGATGCAATCGCTAGTGCCATTGGCCAGTGCCCCTTGCCCCGCAGGTCTGTGCAGACTTAGGTTAGAACAGGGCTGGACTCCCAGCACCCCAGGGAGTGGGTAGAGATTGTTTCCCAGATAGGTGTCTATCAGGCCAAAGCGTGCTACTGACTTCCTTCTGCGGTCCTGAACCCCTACCTATGTGTGGTTTCTGGTCTTTGCCTCCTTCTCCACTTCCCTTTGCGCCCCACTTGTCCCCACCACTCTCCCACTCCAGTCTCGGGTTAATCAAATGCGATTGACAGAACAGACAGCTGTCAGACCCCTCACGTCTCTGCCTGGGTATTTGATGCAGCGCTGGGAGACCGAAGGTGAGAGGAGGGAGATGGGGTGCGAAGAGCCGAGGGAGAGACGCAGATTGGTGAGAGCCAGGCATTCAGAAGGTAGTCAAGCTTGAAGACTCCAGGGCAGGGTTCAGGGAGATAGGCTCTAGTTCTGCCTGGGACCCCTAGTTCTTTCCCCTTCTCTGACAAGCAGCAGACTTAACGAGCCCCACAACCATTGCATCCGGAAGAGAGTTGACCCCATACTCCTTGTCCCGCACCTTGGGCGGGCCTGGCTTCAGAGAACGCAGCATATAGAGCATCGGAGCCGGCGGCCGCAGCCCGGTACTTCCTCCCATCTCTTTCCATTCCTTCCCACTTGCTCCCCCTCCCTTTTCACTCCCTCCCCCGCGGCCGCGGCCTTTATTAGGGATTCCGCGGCTGTCGGTCCCGCCATCCATCCTGTCCGCCGGCAATTAGGCGGCCAGACAAAGAGCAGCTTCGGATGGATGAGGGTCCCGGCGGATCGGAAATGTGAAGGGTCAGCGCTGCCGCCCGCGGCGCACCCCGCTCCCCCTTCCGCATAATCACCGGCCGCCCGT